TCATGATGTTGCCACCACCGTGCTTCATGGTGGGTTTATAAGGATGTGCAGATTTTGGTGTTCGCCAAACACAGTGTCTAGTCTGATGGACAAAAAGTTCAATTTGATCTCATCAGACCAAAGAACCTTCTTCCAGTTGACTTCAGAGTCTCTACATGTCTTCTGGTGACCTCTAGTTCAGATTTAGTCTTTTTTCAACAGTGGCTTTCTTTTTGCCACTCGCTTCTAAACCTGAGACTGGTGAACAACAGGCAGCAGGAAAGACAGGAGGATGGAGTTTGTGTTCAAATCATCATGTTATGGTGAGTAAAATTTATATTTTTGTCATGTTATTGGGTTGATATTGGTGCTCCTGTTAGATGTGATGTTTGTGGTGCTGCTGTGGCTGCAGTTAATGGAGACTTGTTGAATTGCTTTGATCGGGTTTCTTGCTTTAGCGATGGCATTCATTCTTGCTACATGACATACCTGTCTGCCATGCAACGCCCTGTTATGCTGCCTTTCTGCATATTACTGATGGTTTCGACGGCCGTGGCGTCATAATGGCTGTGTTAAGAGGTGGTTTCATTCAGGTAGGACGCCACTGAAGGCCGAGGAGTACTGCTGTGCCTAAAGGAAGACTCGCTTCGTGTTTTGACCTTTTTGAGGATTTTTCTAACAGTCTGCAGGCCCTGAGATCAGGTTGTGAACCTCCACCTACATCCACAACCACACCTTTAAAACAAACATACACTCTCACCTACCTGCTGTTGTCATGGAGACTCGATAAGCGGTGCTGAAAAACAAGCAAAAATGAAAGAGCCATTGTGTTTGATGGTGATTCATGTCAGAAAGCCAGACAGACTAAACTCAGATTACCTTGACTATTTATTGCTCAATCGTAAATTTATCTACAGTAAATAGTGTCGATGCTTCTACAAGATCTACAGTGAAGCACAGTTTACAGACTGTTCCCTGCTGTTGGCTGTGAAAGTACAACAAGATTAAAGGTTGATTACATGTTTTGTAGTAATTTTTTTCCCAACACTTTCTTACCTCCAACCCAGCAGGTGGGGAGTGTTTACTGGGTCTGATAAGTTCTGATAACGCATCAAAGAAAAAGTTTTAATCTAATATTCAAAGAACATTTTAAAGATCATTTCCAATAATGTTAGTATGAGGTTAAAAGTTAACTCAGACTTTTGGAACAAAGAATTCTTGGTCACAACTGCTTATTTTAGTCTCACTGTGTTCACCTTTAGCATCGTTTTCCGACGATGGCGGGTCAGCTCGTATGAAGGCAGGTCTCACATATCCACACCCGTCTCCACAGCACTGTCTAGAGATGTTTAAAATGTCTGTAATAATGACTTTCAATACAGTCACACATTGTGAAATATGAATTAATATGTGAAATATTACTGAGGTGGATTTTATGTAGTAGCCCCTGCCTTCGCCCTGAGTCAGCTGGGATAGGCTCCAGCGCCCCCACGACCCTCGTGAGGTTTAAGCGGTGTGTAGATAATGGATAATGGATGGATTTCATGTACAATTTTGCCTGTTCTTCTTGTAAATGAATACCGTTGAGCTCTTACACAGCTCTGTGTTTGTACATGGATCCATATGTCACACACATTTATGCACACGAAGCCAAACTAAATTGAAAGATCAGGATTAAGACACACTTTTTGAAGTTATGAAGTGATTGAGATCTGCAAAAGTAAAACAGTAAAAGCAGCTATCAGATGTTTTGTTGAGACGTATGATTAGTGCCCTGGTCTGTCTCAGGTTACATGAACTCTTGTTTGGTGGCCTCAGTAGAAGACTCTGTCATGGTGCTGCTTTACTAGCTAAACACTAAAACTATTTTCTGTCGAGCTACACAAAACTGCCCGCCTCCTCACGTTGCTACAGTATTAAACAGTACAGTCTCCCCCTGGTGGCACAACCAGGTACTACAGCGAGTCTACAACGCTTGAAGTGTGCAATATCTAGAAAAACTGTATCGGGAGACACTAAATATTAAATTAATGATTTGAAGCAAATCCGGAGGTAGGAAAAGAATTAACTAAACTTTGACATTCCTCGTTAACACTTTACAATATGAGATATATTATTCGTATATAAAAATTACCTGAATAATTTTAGATTAAGGTGAAAACTAGGGATGCCCCAATTTTTTGCCCCCAATGTAACTCAAGTAATTTCTCACGGTATCTCCCAACCAGACACAGTTTTCCTGGATAAGACGCAGTTAAAATATTGTAGATTAACCGTAGTATTAGGTTGTTCCACCAACCGCTTACTGTTTAATACTGTAGTGACCGCAGGAGGTTGGCAGTTCTGTGCTGGCGAGCAGAAAACATTGTGTGTGGGGGGGTTCTCGTAGAGTAGTCGTAGCAACTGGACTTGCTTGAGTTCCTTGAAGACGTTTCACCTCTCATCCAAGAGGCTTCATTAGTTCTGACTGACTAGTTGGGAGTAAACGACTCACATGACGAGGGGCAGGAGCAACAAACCCCCAACTGAAACCGAAACTCAGGTGTTAATGTCTCCTTTAGGATATAAGTATCTGGGACCCCAACCAGTCAGTCAGAACTGATGAAGCCTCTTGGATGAAACGTCTTCAAGGAACTCAAGCAAGTCCGGTTGCTACAATTAATCTACGAGAATAACCATGACCTGGATGACTGAGAATCTTCACAGACATTATGGGGGTTTAGTTAGTAAAGGGCCACCATGACAAAGTCTTCTGTGATTATTAACAGCCTCCAGCCAGTGTGCTGAGTAAAGCTGAGAACTATCAGGTTTCTACATCCCAGTGGCATTTACAACAGCCCCCTTTGTCACCGGTACATCATGACATCCCGAAAAGGAATTTCTGAGTTTTGTATTAACTACAATAGCTTCAGTGTTTGTGCTTTGTGTGGAACTTCCTTATTGTCCATATTGTACGCAATATTAACTCGTGATCCAGCGCAGTGTTTTCATGTTTTTAAGGTCAGGTACAGCAGGTTTCCACAACACATCAACTGTGCAGGGTCAGTCTGATCCGACACACTGCTCGTAGAAAACGCTGACGACAGTGTTAAACCTGTCCTTCAGGTACATCTCTAGTGTTTCCAGCGACATCCGTCTCACATCGTACCCTCTGTACTGCTTCTTAGCCGTCTTGTTGACTGGTACAATCTCCTCGGTGCTGTTGGGGTCATTGCGTCCGATGGCAGCGTACGTCGGAAAGGTGTTGCTCAGCCAATTTGGGAGACTGTGGTTGTAGTTGGGGCAGCAGTAGGTGGACCAAAGATACTCCGGCACCGCCACACGGTGATTCTTGAGCCAGTGCTCGTCCCCCCGGTACGGGATGACGCCAGTCACCATGTACGCCTTCCCGAGACAGTAGGCTGCTAAGGTCTTGTTGACGTTCTGCTCCAGGAGTTCCCAGGGCCCGTCGTTGGATCCCACCTTTTGCGGAACCACATTGGTGAGGGTGAAGGTGGCAGACCGGGCCTGGTACCTCTGGTGGTGAAGGCTAGGGTTCAGGTGGCCACGAGAGTAGGTGGAGTTGATGTAGTCCAGATCTACCGCCTGGCTTTCCACCACGTTCTGGTCTGGAGGGCCCGGTGGGAATGGGACCATGTTGCCATCAGCTCCTGGATACGCCAACTAGGGCAGAAAGCAGCAGTGTTGACAAACTGCTAATGATTTGCATCCGAAAATACTGTATGTGCACATGAACTACTGCAACACACTTTATGTGTCAGAGCTGCCTCAATCCAACAGGTTTGTCATGAAGAGATGTAAAAATAAAAGATGTTTTGCTGAGACGTGTGATTCATACACTAGTTTATCAGGTGTTGGCCTGAGTTCACTAAGTCCTGTACAAATCTCTGTCACGGTGTTCCTTTATGAACTAAACACCAAAAATGTTTTCTGCTCATCAACACAAAACTGCCCGCCTCCTCACGTTGGTACAGTATGAAACAGTACAGCTCCCTCTGGTGGTACAACCAGGCACTGCAGCTAATCTACAACACTTGAAGTTTGTAATATCTAGAAAAACTATATCTGGAGATACTAAATATTAAATGAATTGAACTGAATCAGGAACTAGGAAAACAAATTAACTAAAATTGGACATTCCTAGCTAAAACTTTACAATATGAACTACAGTCGTCCTCAGATGTATTCATAGCCTCCCATGAAAGAAGGAAAAAAACAGCTTCAGTCACTGACATAAGTTGAAATTGACAAAAATAATAATAAATAAAAAAATTATGAAAATCATGACATTGCTTTTGAATTGTGGTTCAACAGAAATATAAACAACAACAACAAAACAATAAGCAAACAAGCATGATGGGACCCGTAAAGTAATATTTAGTTGAACAACCCTCTGAGCCAATCACTGCCTTCGGGTGTTTTCTGTAACTCTCAGTCAGACTTCTGCACCTGTTGACAGGTGTTTAGATTTCACTGCTCATCAGCAAAGTGCTCTCATTTGTCCGGGACAGTTTGTTTAAATTTTTTTTTAATTTTCTTTTTACCCACAATTCAAAGCAATGTCTTATTTCACTAAATTATAATTTTGTACATTTTTATTTATTATTACTTTTTTCAGTTTCTTGTTATTTGAGTGACTGTTGTGAATTTTGCCTTCTCTTTAATGCGAGGGTATGAACACATATTAATATATAAAATTATACTTCATAGAGTTTCTGGCGCCCTTGCTGTCACATTGTCAGACATAAATACACGAACAGACAGCAGTATTTACAACATGCATCAAGCTGTTCTCCTTTACTGGGACTCGTTTCCTCATTTTGTGGTTATATGCAGAAACCGCAGAAACGTTGTGTAACTGCTGCCGAACCGGATCCTACCCAAAGTTGTCAGCGTCAGACCCGTTGGTTACTGCAGCTACAGCCTTTAATGCTCATCAAACTGAACTTTTTAAATCTCTGCTCACCTGTGGCTCAAACTTCCAGGACGCTGAAGGCCTCTTTCCGGTGGGAACAGAGTACAAATAAGCCGAGAACCAGGGCGAGCGGCGAGGTCGGCTGTACAGCGTGGCGAAGTGGTGCTGGTTGTAATAACGCTGGCAGATCGGGGTTCCGGCCAAACCTTTAGGAGGCCAGGATCTGTAGAAGAACTGCAGGCATGGGGTGAAATCCCCAACATCGGCTGCACAGCGACCGGCGGCGAAGGCCAGGAGGAGGAGAGCGCCAAGCATTTTTAATTGAATGTTCAGAAACCCGTCATGTCCTTCACAGACTCACAGGAATGAATGGACAGATGTTCACTTTTCAGTAACAGTCAGCCTCTGACTGAAAGCAGAAGCACTTTTAACTTTAGTTTCAGGTTCTTTTTTTTTTCTTCTTTCAGGAAACAAGACCATTGAATTTGCCTGCAGTGACGCCTGACCTTCAGCAGTGAACTCAGAGCTTTACTTAAGTAAGAAAAATCCAAATATACTCTGAATTATTGTGCAGAATTTGCCTCTTGCAGTGGATGATAAAATTAATTCATGCATGAATGTGCAACTCAGTTTAGTTCCACATGCACTGCAAAAAATATTTTAAAAATCCTGTGAAGAAATTGTGAAAAAAAAAAAAAAATCTGTAAAAAAACCGATGTTTTTAACTAGTTTATTTCTGTGATTTTACTAGATGTAATGTTAAATTTAACAAAGCAGCAAAATCTGCAAAATACTTTTTTGGGGGGGTTTCAATCCATCTTATATGCATTTTTTTTTTCTTTCAAATAATGGAAAATATCTGTAGAATAATCATATTTGGAGCTGATTTAGAATAGAATAGAATAGAATAGAATAGAATAGAATAGAATAGAATAGAATGACCTGGGAAATTATGATTATTACAAGTACAACACAGCAGTATAATTATACAGTCAGACCTCGTAAAAGAATCACAATTTGGAAAAAATAT